CATGTGCAGCTGGCCTCCAAGCCATGGAGTAAACCTCCTGGTACTTATATTGGCTATTCTTGGGTGTTAGTCTCCTATTTTGTTACTTTATGTTCCCCAGATGAATGCAATCTTTCTATGTCTGTCCCTCTCTTTCTGACTCATTTCGCTTAGCATGTATCATTATTTTTTTCTCCTTCTCTTTCCATCCTTTCCTGGTGTTTCCTCACCTCTGCGCCACCTGTGTCCAAGCTCACTGTCTGCATCCTAAGCAGCAGAGCAAGTGGCATCAAGTCCATGAGAAAGCTGGGCTCAGGGATGTTGTGTGTGGTGTGTTGTGTGTGTGTGTGTATGTGTCCACTGAAGCTAGGGAATTGTGTTAGATCAGGGCACTTTCCTCTAAGTTTGCCCTATGGTGGGGAGTGTTAATTGAGACACACACGTGCAAAGCAGCAGAGGATACATGCAGACCCAGCTCTGATGAACCTCAGATGGATGGGACAATTGCAGGGTCAGGGACATCCCTATTGGATGGGGCAAATGATAGTCAAGGCCCCCGTTTTGGTGGAGGCAGGTTGGCTGGATATAAAACAAGAACAGCAGACAGACCCCCCAGAAATTCCCCAGTTACATCAGGGCAATGAGGATACTGCAAAGAAACCTCAGCCCACTTACAAGGCTTCAAGTTAGACCTTTGGAGACCGATATTGGTCCTGGTGCTTCAGAAAACCAAGAAGTCTACTGGCTTGGAGACAGACTTCATCCCTTCAGCACTACTGAACTGGCAGCTGCATCAGTGTCCTTTGCCTCACTGTCCCACAGATGCCATAGGGTGGGTGCTGGCAAATATTGGCTGGTTCACGATTTTCATGACCAGAGGAACCCTGAATTTAGGGAACCTGAGCTTTTGTATGGCACAAACCTGTTGTTTCTCCCAGAGACGCTATCTCTACTTCTGTACAAAGGCTCTTGAGAAATCAGTGATTCTGCTAATGAGATGGGCCAAAACACAGGAGAGCCGGGAGTGCGGTCTCCCAGCAAACCTGTTCTCACATTCACTAGAGAGAGAGCAGGAATCTACAGTTAGGGTCTAGGTTTCAACACGGAAAAACTCACCCTGGCAGGTTTCAAGAGGAAGGAACAGTGGCAGCTCTCAGATAGTCAGAAATTTAACAATTTGAGAGGGAAGGTCTGAGGGAGACTAGTGGTCATCAACGTAAAGAAGATCATCATGCCCATGAACTCAGCCAAAGGAGCATTGTGGACACCAATGCAGTTTCTTTCTGTCCTGCCCCAAGGTTTAGCGCTCCCTGGCGGCCACATCTGGAGGCTCAGAGGCTTCTGGGGCAGCTCAGATAGCTCATTCTTTTTATCTCATTCCCTCACTAGAAACTGGGGCCACTTGTTCCCTCTGCACCCCATAGGAATGTGATGGCTCACTTCCAGCCCTTCCTCTCCCGTTCAGTCTTCCTTGACTCACCAGTTTCACACACACACATTCTTCCAGGCCTCTGTGCCGACTGCCTGCTGAGTCCACCTCTAGTTCCTTTGTTCCTTGCAGGGAGCAAATTAGACTGTCCAAGTCTCCGCTTTCCACCAAGAGTAGAACTTCAGTTCACTGAAAGGTACCCTGGGAGCTCCTTTGTTAGCTTTGTCCTTGTTGGAGAACAGAAGCATTGAGTATCTTCCTTTCCTATGCTGGTGGCAAACCACCACAAATCTCTGACTTGAACCATAGCTTTTCTTCTGCCACTTTTGTTTTGGGGCCATATCCAGAAATTCTTAGAGGTTCTTGCTGGTTCTGCACTCAGGAATGACTCCTAGCAGTGCTTGGGGCTTATATGGGGTCCTGGGGATCGAACCCAGGTCAACTGTGTTCAAGGAAAACACCCTTCGCACTGTGCTATCTCTCCAGCTCTTCTTTGGTATTTTTTTTTCTTTTTGGGTCACATCCGGCAATGCACAGGGGTTACTCCTAGCTCATGCACGCAGGGATTACTCCTGGCAGTGCTTGGAGGACAGTATGGGATGCTGGGAATTGAACCCGGGTCAGCCGCGTGCAAGGCAAAAGCCCTACCCGCTGTGCTATTGCTCCAGCCCCATTCTTTGGCAGTTTTGACGGTCCAAGTTTGAAAGTCTCAGAGGATTAAAAACAAGATACTGGGGCCAAAGATATAATACAGGGATTAAGGTGCTTGCTTTGCATGTGGCTGACCCTTCCTGGTTCCTGGCACTACAGAATCCTACCAGAACCGTCAGGAGTGATCCCTGAGCACAGAGACCCAGTGCATTGACTGAGAGCCTGCGGGTGCTCATGAATCCAAACCCCGGGGTTGCCTCAACATCTGTGCAGAGCGATCCTGGCAGCTCTGCTGTGTTTGTTTCCAGCGCTGAGATTCATTTCCAGCCACATTGTAGGCAGGGGTGCAGCCTCTGGTGAGCCCCACATCAAAGGAGTGCCACCACCAGGAAGAGAGCGTTTGGTTATCAAAACATCAACATCAAAGAAGGGGAGAGGGATAGGGAGTTTAAACAAAAAGATGCAAAACCTTAACATAGAAAATAAAAACCAGGGGCTGGAGCAATAGCACAGCAGGTAGGGCATTTGCCTTGCATGCAGCCGACCCGGGTTCAATTCCCAGCATCTCATATGGTCCCCCCGAGCACCGCCAGGAGTAATTCCTCAGTGCATAAGCCAGGAGTAAGCCCTGTGCATTGCTGGGTGTGACCCGCCTCCAAAGAAAGAAAAGAACTATTCGACTTATAGTCTATTGGTATATTCCTTTTTAAAAGGATGGAAAGAGGGACTGGAGCAGGTAGGGCGTTTGCCTTGCATGCAGCCCACCTGGGTTCTATTCCCAGCATCCCATCTGGTCCCCCGAGCACTGCCAGGAGTGATTCCTGAGTGCAAAGCCAGGAGTAACCCCTAAGAATCGCCGGTTGTGACCCAAAAAAGCCAAAAAAAAAGGATGGAAAGAGGGTCCAGGAAATGGTACAGTGGGTAGGCTGACCTAGGTTCAACTCGTGGCACCCCATATGGTCTCTTATGGTCTCTTGAGCACTGTCAGCAGTGATTCCTGAATGCAGAGCCAGGAGTAAGCCCTGAGCACTGCGAGTGTGGCCCAGATACTGCCCTTTAAAGAAAGGAAGGAAAAGGGATGACCCTCTAAAAGGTTACATGTGCTCCTGGGTTGGGGGCTGGGATTCAGAGGTAGGGCACATACCTGGCATGTGTGAGGTCTGTCCCTCCTGGTATAATCCATCCCTGATACCGCACACTGTCCGCATCCAGCGCCACTGAGTGTGGCACCCACAATAATCAACAATCCTGAGTCAGGGGTGGAGCCCAGCAGTAGAGCACTTGCTTTGCATGTTTGAGGCCCTGGGTTCCACCCCAGGCACTGCTCCTCACCCCAAATGTCCCTGAATGGTCTGAGACCCAGTTTTTCGTCACCACCTGCTCTTTGCTGTCCTTGAAAGGCCCAGCATGTGGGTGCCTGGAGCTGTGGCACAGCTGCTGTCTCTGCCCAAGACCCTCCCATAGACAGGCCGGTGTTTGACACCTCACTTCTCTGTTCAAAAATCCCCTTGACCTGGGGTCTTCAATGTCCACCTTCTGAGGTTCCACCCACACCATCTCGCCTTCAGCTCTTCAGTTCCTCCTAGCACCAGTCCCCATCTGACTTACAAAGATTTGCTTGTACTCTGGGCTCCGTCGCCCAAACCCTTGTAAGGAGCATCCATGAGGCCAGGGGCCCATCACAGTGCCTATACCTTAGAGAGACTGAGGAAATCCTTGCTGGGCCCCAAGAGTACAGGGGCTTAGGCACTTGCCTTACATCCTGCTGCCCCTGGTTCAAATCCCCAATTCCACTACATTTCCTGAGCATCACTAGGGGTCACTTCTGACCACAGAGCCAGGAATAGGCCCTGGGTACTGCTGGGTGTGGCCCAACTCTCACCCCCAATCTTTGGTGAACAGCATCACTGCTGTGGCCAGAGGCAAGGGACTATGATGGACAATCCACCTGGAGGAGCTATGTGGTTAGAAGGAGGGATGGGCCAAGCTCTCCAGAGAAAGTGGGGACTGGGGGGGGGCAGCGTAATAGTACAAGTGGGTAAGGTCCCCAGCATCCCATATGGTCTTCCCAGCACCGCCAAGGGTGATTCCTAAGTGCAGAGCCAGGAGTAAGCCCTGAGCACCACCGTTATGTGGCCCCAAAAGAAATAAAAGAGTGGGGATTGTGGCACACACACAGGAGGTTGCTGGGAGAGATGCTGAAAGCTGGGAATCACAGCCCTGAGTCCTGGGGTCTGGGAAAGTCCCAGCAGGAATTAGCCAAGGGTCCTTTGGCTTCTCTGGGTCTACTGATCCCCTCTGACAGTGTTCACTGAGCTCGGAGGAGAGATAGTACAGCCAGGAAAGGCCTTACACATGCCGCCCCCCCCCCCCCATCCCCAGCACCCTGAGCCCCACCAGGAGGGATCCCTGAGCACCACAGGGTGTGACCCCCCCAAAGTCGAGGGTCTTCTCTCCCCCATTCTCCATAAGCCGGCAGCTGGCCGACCAGCCGTGTCCCGCGGACTCCGCGGCCGTTCTCCGGGAAGGGTTAACGGGGAGTGTTTGTAGCAGCCGCCGTCTCCAAGGAGCGCAGAGCAGGGAGAGGCCGCGCCGGCTCCGAGGGCCGGCGAGGGTGGGCGGCCGCGGGACCCGCAGATCTGGGGGGCAGAGGAGATTCCTCGCCGCCATCTGTCCTCGAGGGCTGGACTCGCAGCCTCCGCGCAGCCCGAGAGCGAGGTCGCTGCCCCGCTTCCAAGTAGGGAAAGTTCTGGCCGGCCTGAGGAATGCGCGGGGCAGATGCCCGGCCTGTCCCGGCAGCGGCGGCGGCGCCCAGCGGCCAGCAGCACGGCCAGGTCTGGGTCCCCAGGGGGTAGCAGGGAGCCCACTCCCCCACTCGCATAAGGGAGGACAACCTAAGACCTAACAGGGGCCAGGCGCGGCCACCACCTCCTCCCCCGTCATGCTCCAGCAGCGGGGGCGCCGCGGGGGCAGGCGGACCCCGGTGCGCAGCATCCGGCCCTTCAGGTCCAGCGAGCACTACCTGGAGGCCATGAAAGAGGACCTAGCCGAGTGGCTGCGGGGACTCTACGGGCTGGACATCGACGCGGCCAACTTCCTGCAGGTGCTGGAGACGGGCCTGGTGCTGTGCCGCCACGCCAACGCCGTCACCGAGGCGGCCCTGGCCTTCCAGGCCGCCGCGCCCGCCCGAGCGCGCAGGCTCCCCTTGCCTCGGGCGGGGGTTCCCTGCAACGGGGCCGCCCGGCCTGGCACCTTCCAGGCGCGGGACAACGTCTCCAACTTCATCCAGTGGTGTCGCAAGGAGATGGGGATCCAAGGTAACCAGCCTGCACCCCCACCCTAGGCCCTGAGCTGCTGGGGTGCCCAGGGCTTCAGTCTGCCTCCCAGGTCTGCCCAACGCCAGCTCAGGGTCTGGCTCTCAGGGTCCTCCCCCTTCATTCACTTTGTGGGGTGCCTGCGCTCTTCATTCATCGCCTGCGGAGGGCGGAGCTGGGGAAGTGTCCGCACCCTGGGCCAGGAGCCCGGAAGCTAGAGCCCAGAACACTAGGGCAGTGTTTCCCGAAGTGGGGGACACTGACCCGAGGGACAGTCCAGTGGGTAGCGCCTTTGCCTTGCCCTCGGCTGACCGGGTTCCATCCCCAGCCCTCCTTACGAGGTCCTGGAGCCTGCTAGGAGTGAAGTGACCCCTGAGTGCAGAGCCAGCAGTAGTAAGCCCTGAGCATAGCCAGGTGTGGCCTGAAACCAAAACGGAAAAACCAAAGTGGGGACAATTTCTCCGGAGAGGACACTAGAACCACACGGGGACAGGAGTCGTCTCTAGTGCAGTTGTTGGGCGGGGGCACTCACTTTATTCCTCTCTATGGGGCACATGCCTAGCTTAGGGCTTACCCCTGGCTCTGTACTCAGGGATCACTCCTGGTGGGACCACATAGGGTACCAGGGATGGAACCTGGATCAGCCTCATGCAAGCACCCGACCTGATGTACTTTCTGGCCCAACAATTTTTTTCTTCTTTTTCTGAAAAGGGGGCATCAGCCTCAATAAGTTGAGGCATGTCTGGTCTAGGAGAGACAGATGAGAACATACATCTGCAGTGAGAAAAGCTCCAAGAGGCAAAATGGGAAATGGAGGAGAAATTTGTTCCTAGTGGAGCGACAGTACCGAGGGCAGGGTACTTGCAAGCGGGCACTGCCATGGCTTTAGTCCTGGCACCACCTGTGGTCCCCTGAGCCCTGCAGGACTCAGAATTCCCACCCAGAGCTGCCCCAGGGGGCTGCAGGGCCGGGAAAGGTTGGAGCTTGAGGCACAGGCTGGGTGGAGCCTGGGATTTGGGAGCGGCAGGTCACCCTCCTCCCCAGCCCGCAGCCAGGCTCCCCCTCGCCTTCGCTGTGATGGTTCCCTCCCGGACCCCTCTGCTGGGTGCCAGTGCGCTCTCAGCTCAGTTGTGCTCAGACCCTCGTGGGGCTGGTGGTAAGATCTGAGACCCACACCGGCGACCCCGGGCTTTCTCGCTGGGGCGTGTGTGGGGTGGGGGGCAAGGGGTCCCAGGCGGGTAGGGTCTTAGTCTGCGCTGCCCGCCTTGGCCCCTTCCCGCTGGCCAGAGGTGCTGATGTTCGAGACCGAGGACTTGGTTCTACGCAAGAACGTGCGGAACGTGGTGCTGTGTCTGCTGGAGCTGGGCCGCCGCGCCTGGCGCTTCGGGGTGGCGGCCCCCACGCTCGTGCATCTGGAGGAGGAGATCGACGAGGAGCTGCGGAGAGAGCTGGCCCTGCCCCCACCCGACCCGCCGCCTCCCGTGCCCCCAGTGCGCCGGCCCTGCCACTTCCGCAACCTGGACCAGATGGTGAGCGGCTCCTCGCTCCCGCCCCACTTTTTCCTTTTTTTTTTTTTCTTGGCTTTTGGGCCACACTGGTGGTACTCTGGGTTTAAGCCTGTCTCTGTGCTGAGGGAGGCTCTGTGCCTGGTGAGGCTCAGGGACCATATGGGGTTCCGGGGATCGAATCCAGGTCAGCCTTGTGCAAGCCAAACACCCTACCCCTTCTCCTATCTGTCGCTAAGACCCTGAGCCCCATCAGCTTCTTTATTTTAATTTTTGTTTTTTGGGCCTCATCGGGCAATGCCGAGGGGTTATTACTGGCACTCAGGGATCACTCCTTGTTGTGCTCAGGGGACTGTTCTGAGGATTGAACCCGGTCAGCTGTGCAAGGCAAGTGCCAGAGGTCCTGAGCCCCACCTTCTTGAGCTGCAGGCCCCCCACCCAAACTGACCAGGAGTGCTGAGTCAGGCCGCCCCCCCCCCCCCCCCCCCCGCACTTCCCGGGCCTCCACCCGTAGCTCGTGGGCTGTGGATCGCCAGCATTTTCTTTTTGCCTTTTGGAGTTTTTTGGCCACACCTGGTGGTACCTCTGGGATTACTCCTGGCAGTGCTCAGCAGACCATGCATTGCTGGGGGTTGGGTCTCCAGTACAAGCCCGTATCTGAGACCTTTGAGCCAGTACCCCTCCCCCACAGCCCTCTCTTTTGTTACTAATCCAGTACACAGCCCCTCCTGGCTGAGGACTTGAAGAACTCAGGCTTCTGCCCTGGGTTCAATTCTTCCTTCTGCTTCTTTATCTCTGTGATTCTGGGCACCGAACTGGATTACTATTACTCTGTGCTGGTGGTTCTTTTTTTTTTTTTTTTTTTTTTTTTAATTTATTTATTGAATCACTGTGGGAAAGGTTACAAAGCTTTCAGGTTTATGTCTCAGTCATGCAAATATCAAACACATTTCCCTTTACCAATACTTATTTTTTACCATGAAAAACCCCAATAAAACCCCACCCCCCACCCCTCCCCGTCCCTGTGAAGCAGATGAATTCTAGTTAACACTCTATCTGCTTTGATTAGATTCATTGTTTCAATAAAAGATTCACCACTTTTATTTAGAGTTTACCCCCCCCCCCCCAAATCACACATGCTGAAAAAGCATTGTGAAGTGATTTGCTTTCTACGGCTGGGTTCAAGAATTAAATGTTGGTTTTGGATTTCTGCTCTTTTACCTATTGACCCTGGAAGTATTTCTACTGAAAGTCAGATAGTTAAGAAATTGGTTTCTGTGTTCTGGAGTCCTGGTCGTGCTGGAGAGCCGCTCGCGGGGGGCAACCGGTGGCCTCGGTAGGGCGTGAAGGGCGGACCGAAACGCCCCCCTTCCCATGAGGTTTTAGTCGCCCCCACACTCCCGGCTCATACCTGCTGTCCACAAGGCTCCCATGTGGCCGCCATCTTTCTTTCCAAAGAGGAGAGGGCGAATGGGGCAACACCCTTTCCCCTCCGGCAGACTTGATGGCCTGGATCAATGCAGAGTCCGTTCACTTTTCTGCTCCAAGCTGCTGGGTTCTGCATTAAGTCCTTGTGCTTCTGGGGCCGTGGCCGTGCTGGAGAGCCGCTCGTGAGGGGTGACTGGTGACCTCGGTAGGGCGTGAAGGACGGACCGGAACGCCCCTCTTCCCATGAGGTTTTAGTCGCCCCCACACCCCCGGCTCATATCTGCTGTCCACAAGGCCCCCATGTGGCCGCCATCTTTCTTTCCAGAGGGAGGAGGGCGGAAGGGAGCAACACCCTTTCCCCTCTGGGCAGAAATGATTGCCTGGATTAACGCATAGTCCTTTCACTTTTCTGCTCCAAGCTGCTGGGTTCTGCATTAAGCCCTTGTGCTTCTGGGGCTGTGGCCGTGCTGGAGAGCCGTTCGTGGGGGGCAACTGGTGACCTTGGTAGGGCGTGAAGGACGGACCGGAACGCCCCCCTTCCCATGAGGTTTTAGTCGCCCCCACACTCCTGGCTCATACCTGCTGTCCACAAGGCTCCCATGTGGCCACCATCTTTCTTTCCAGAGAGGAGAGGGCGAATGGGGCAACACCCTTTCCCCTCCAGCAGACTTGATGGGCTGGATCAACGCATAGTCCGTTCACTTTTCTGCTCCAAGCTGCTGGGTTCTGCATTAAGTCCTTGTGCTTCTGGGGCCGTGGCCGTGCTGGAGAGCCGCTCGTGAGGGGTGACTGGTGACCTCGGTAGGGCGTGAAGGACGGACTGGAACGCCCCCCTTCCCATGAGGTTTTAGTCGCCCCCACACCCCCGGCTCATACCTGCTGTCCACAAGGCTCCCATGCGGCCGCCATCCTTCTTTCCAGAGAAGAGAGGGCGAATGGGGCAACACCCTTTCCCCTCCGGCAGACTTGATGGCCTGGATTAACGCATAGTCCTTTCACTTTTCTGCTCCAAGCTGCTGGGTTCTGCATTAAGTCCTTGTGCTTCTGGGACTGTGGCCGTGCTGGGGAGCCGCTCGTGGGGGGCAACTGGTGACCTCGGTAGGGCGTGAAGGACGGACCAGAACGCCCCTCTTCCCATGAGGTTTTAGTCGCCCCCACACCCCCGGCTCATACCTGCTGTCCACAAGGCTCCCATGTGGCCGCCATCTTTCTTTCCAGAGGGAGGAGGGCGGAAGGGAGCAACACCCTTTCCCCTCTGGGCAGAAATGATTGCCTGGATTAACGCATAGTCCTTTCACTTTTCTGCTCCAAGCTGCTGGGTTCTGCATTAAGCCCTTGTGCTTCTGGGGCTGTGGCCGTGCTGGAGAGCCGCTCGTGGGGGGCAACTGGTGACCTCGGTAGGGCGTGAAGGACGGACCGGAACGCCCCCCTTCCCATGAGGTTTTAGTCGCCCCCACACCCCCGGCTCATACCTGCTGTCCACAACGCTCCCATGCGGCCGCCATCCTTCTTTCCAGAGAAGAGAGGGCGAATGGGGCAACACCCTTTTCCCCTCTGGGCAGAAATGATGGCCTGGGTTAACGCATCGTCCGTTTACTTTTCTGCTCTAAGCTGCTGGTTTCTGCATTAAGTCCTTGTGTTTCTGGGGCTGTGGCCATGCTCCAAACTTAACTCTGATTTTCAGGGAGAAAGATTGGGTGGTTTACTTCTCATTGATCACTTTGTATATAGAGAGATGTTGCGCGGCCGCGTAAGCGGCCGCGCGGTTTTGAGAAAAAGTCCTCGTTCCCGCCTACTCGAGCTGTGTTTGTAGAGGCTTCTGGTCACCAGGGTTCCATCTGGGGGAGGCGGGATGCGGCGCCTACTCCATCTGGAACTTCCCGGTGCTCTCGGCTCTTTTTGGAACCTGTTTTTTCTTTTTTCTTTTCCTCCGGGATCCCGCACCCTCCATGTGTTCCTTCTCTTATTCTGAACGTTTCAAAGATGGCGCTGGGGGGCGGGCTGTGGGCATGACTTCCGGGATCAGAGGTTACCTGGGAGGTGTAGTCCGGCAGATTTGAGAAAAAGTCCTCGTTCCCGCCTACTCGAGCTGTGTTTGTAGAGGCTTCTGGTCACCAGGGTTCCATCTGGGGGAGGCGGGATGCGGCGCCTACTCCATCTGGAACTTCCCGGTGCTCTCGGCTCTTTTTGGAACCTGTTTTTTCTTTTTTCTTTTCCTCCGGGATCCCGCACCCTCCATGTGTTCCTTCTCTTATTCTGAACGTTTCAAAGATGGCCTGTGCTGGTGGTTCTTTTATCTGTAGGCAGTTGGAGAAGCATAGTGACCTAGCAGCACCTTCCACGCTGGATCACAGTGTCCGGAGTAAGGGGCGTGCTTCCTGTGGATTCACCCATTTCCCCACAGAGCACTCAGACTTGGGGTGTTTCTTGTGGGGGAGGCCAGGGCTCTCCTGTGAGCCACATCCTGGTGTGCAGGGAAGTTTCTTTACCTGCCCAAAGCCAGGGGCAGGAGCCCTCTGGGGTCCACAGACCACTGTCCTCACCCTTATGCTCTTGAGGGGGAGACACTCCAGGTCCCTCTCTCGGGTCAGGGAGTGAGATGAAAGGGTTGTGGCACAAGCCTTGTGAGCTCAATCCCCAACACCATATGCCCCTCCCACCCCGCACCAATGGGTGTAGACTGGGTGACCCCCAGCACCTGTGGGCTGAACACTGGCCTTCCAGGCCCCTTAGCTACACTGAGCACCCCTTGGGGAGCCCCCTAGTCTTTTCTACTTACTGCCCAGACCCCAGCTCTGCTGTAGAAGCTCCAGGCTATTTCTGGGGGTGGGCAGACCCTCACTGCACTGGGCCCAGCCTGCTGGGAGTTTGGGTGCCTGGGCAGAGGGTTCTGAGCCGCTGCCCACTGCCTGCAGGTCCAGCGCCTTGTGAGCCGCTGCACATGCCCCGTGCAGTTCCCCATGGTCAAGGAGTCTGAGGGCAGGTACCGTGTGGGGAACTCCAACACCCTCATCTTCATCCGGGTAAGTCGCAGGAGAGGGCTGGGGGCCTTGGGGTTGGCAGAACAGGGTTTTATTCTGTAGGACCCTGCCCAGGCCCAGGGCAAGGGTAGCAAGTCACTATTCACCCACTCACCCACAATGTATCCAGCCCAGGGGCTTCCCCCCCCACCTACACACACACACACACACACACACACACACACACACTTTGCTGGAGAATTCTAGAAGATTCATTGCAAAGTTAACAGCCTATCCTCCCCTCCCATTAGGGCAGACGGAGTCCCTCACCCCCTCTGCCCTCAGCTCAGCTTCCTGTCCCAAGAATTAGGGGTGGGGGTAACTCCCATTCTCCATCTCCCATTCACCCACTGGCTGGGTCAGAGATGGGAGCCTGAGCACTCTAAGAGTGTGTGCAGTTGGAATCTCCCCCCCCAAACACACACACACCCCAGAGCATGCCCCTTGCATGCCTGATTGGGTGACATGGCCTATCTCTGGGGTGTGGCCAGCACTGGGGGCCAGGCCAGGCCCTTGTCCTGAGCACAGGAGGTGTGGAGGTAAGGTGGAAAGAGCCATATGGGGTCTCACCCAGACTGAAGCCCACCACAGCCCCATGAGAAAGGAAGCAGAGGGACTTGGGACCTCATTTTTTATTTCTGGGCCACACCCAGAAGTGCTCAGGGGACCATAAGGGGTACTGGGGATAGAGCCTGGGTCAGCTGTGTGCAAGATAAGGACCCTACCTTCTGTATTATCTCTCTGGTCCTTGGGGCCCCACTTTTCACCTGAGGATATTGAAGCCGGGGGATGATTATGAATTCAAATTACCAGGGTACCCACATTTCAAATACACAAACACACATCTCTTCACACACATTCACACAGTCCACTCCTCACACATAAAATCACTCATACATGCTCACATACAGTCACATACTCACACACACACACACACACACACACACACACACACACACACTGCAAGATGTGTGTGAGAGCACTCACATGCTCTCTCTCACACACACATATACATACTCACATACTCTCATACACACATGCTCACACACACACATGGCAAAGCTGGGGCCTGCACGTTCCAGCACGTGCAGCTGGGAACCCTTCATGGGGCAGGGAGTGCCGTGATGCCATCAGATCCCAGGCCCTGTGATGGGGCCACTTCATCAGCCCCGCCTCCATCCCGACAACTCAAATTAGCAGGAAGACTCAGGTTGTGGAATCCACACATGCCCAGCTGCACACGCGGGCACTGGTTTCCATGGCCCCGCTCCCGCCCTCAACTTCAGCCCTGCCCCCTGCAGATCCTGCGGGACCACGTGATGGTGCGCATCGGGGGCGGCTGGGACACCCTCGGCCACTACCTGGACAAACACGACCCGTGCCGGTGCACGTCTCTCTGTGAGTCCTCTCACTTGGGCTGTGGGTTGGGGGGCCAGGAACAGAGGCAAGAGATGGGTGGGCTTGATCCCTGGGGCGGAGGCGGCTGTGGATGGAGCCGAGGCTACCGCAGAAGCTACAGACCTGGCGGAAAGCTGGGCAGCCACGGTGCTATCCCAATAGTAGCCAGAAGATGGCACTAAACAAACAGAGAATCGGCATTTGGGTATGCTGTCTCATAGATCTCGCTCTGCGCGGAGCATGGCCCAGAGGGGTCTTACTTGTTTGGGATTTGGGTATATAACCCAAGAAAGTTGCGGATATAACCTGTTTTTTCTGCATGCAAAGTGTGTTCCAGCCCTTTGAAGTACAGTCCCAGCCCCCTGGAGCGGGAGCAGCAGCTTTTCCGTAAGCTCCATCAGCACCTCAAGCCACCCCAAAGACCAGAGCATGAGTACAGCCAGTAGGGCACTTGCTTTGCATGAGGCTTACCAGGATTCAATCCCTGGCACCCCATATGATCCCCTGAGCCCCTCCAGGAATGATTCCTGAGCACAGAGCCAGAGTTAAACCATGAACATGACTGGGTGTGGCAAAAAAAAAAAATAAAATAAAAGAAGGTGTGGGCTGGCAATGCACACTATCCACCCCCTCCTATCAGGACATTGGGGAGCTGTCACCGCCAGCCCCACTGTCTGTACTGTGGGGGGAGGGAGCTGCGGGCCTGACTCATGTCCCATCATCTCTGTAGCACACAAGACTGGCAGCTTCCTGAGGCCTCCAGCTACGCTGGTGCAGCATGAAGTGAGGATGCAGGACGGCCCCTGGCAGCACCAGCCCACCATGACCGTCAGTCGCTCCCAGAGCCCCCTGCCCCCTGTGGACTGGGAGACCTATACCTCTTCTGGCCGGAAGCTCAGGCCCCCAGCATCCCCTGTTCCCAGACCCTGCAGTGCCAGGGGAGAAGGGGCGGGGGCGTCATTCCCAAGGTACAGAGGTAGCAGGGGGCTGCCTCTCTCTCCCCTGAGGATGGGGGGGCTGACCCTGGTGGTAAGAGTACAGATGTCAGCACTTCCCCACTTCCTTCCGCTTCACAGGGAGGCTGAGGGAACACCCCTAAAGGGGGCACGGGCTCCCCCACTGCGGGTTGCCTCACCCCAGCAACAGACGAGACTTTCCTCTGGGAGTGGTGCCTGTGATTGTGGGGTCCCTAGAAGGCTGGGTCAATGCTGTGCTGCCTGGCATGGGGGACACAGAGGGGAGTATTGGGGTGTGTCCCAAGGAACAGGAAGTCCTTCCCCACCCATCCCTTTCCAGGTGCCCTGGGACTGTCAGCACCAGGATTGATTCTCTTTTCCAGGAGCCAAATGTCCTTCACCCCCTCTTGGAAGCTGCTGCCGGCTGGGCACAGCCCACCCAGACCCCAATCTTCACCCACCCCTCGGCACCCAGACCCAGGGGGCACATCTTCAGGGAGGAGAGAGGACAGAGGTCTCCCTGAACCTACCTGGGGACGGACTTGCACAGGTGGGGTCCCCAAGGAGGCCGCCAGCCGGGGAACCCATGCCAGTACCCCGACGCCTCAGACACTCCAGGCCCCTGCAGCCACCACCCGAGGGACACCAGCAAGGAGGGGCCCCAGTCCTTGCTGCCTGGGGAGGCCGAGGGTGGTCCAGGCTGCACATCCTCAGCTGGGGGAGCCTGCATGTCTCTCCTCTCCGTCTCAGATCCCGGTGCGGCTGCCCCCCACCCGTACCCCCACCCCGGGAGGCATCGCCCATGGAGCCTCCACACCACTGCAGCTGCCAGAACCAGGCAGTGAGTTGATTCTGTTGAGGGCCAGCCATGGGGGCCAGCCTGAGTCCCCACCCAGGAACTGTGTTGAGGGAGGGAGGCAAGAAGGTCAGCAGGGGGACAGCGGGGACTCTGGGGAGCCCTGCGGCTGGGGTCCCCCTGAGCAAGAGGGGCACTCCTCGTCCCTGACTGGCAACCATGGGCTCAAGAATCTGTCCACCAGCCTGGAGCTGCTGCGGGTGGGAGATGCCTGTCCCCGGGACTCGGGGTCCCCATTTGTCCCACGCAGCGGTGTCTATGTCCCCAGCCTGGGTGGACGATGGGCCCAGCCTGGGGGTCCCTATGACAGAGTCATCCAAGAACTGGCTCAGATGGACCTGAGAGCCTGGTGGACAGCCCCTCAAGGATCCCTAAAGCTGACCAGTGCCCTCACCCCAGAAAGTCCAACAGGAAAATCAGGAGACCGAGAGGGTGTGCCCGGGGCCAAGGGAGCCTCGAATTCCAGGGGTGCCAGCAGGAGGAAGGGTTCTCCTCTAGGGACCCAGGGCTGCCCATCCCCTTCCGCATCTGCTGGGGAGACCCCCACTTCGTTTCCCTCAGACTCCAGACCCGACAAAGCCAGAACCAGTGCAGGCAAGGGCCGGAGAATGCTCCGGAAGCCACAGAGGATCCCATCCATCTACAAGCTGAAGCTCAGGCCCCGGATTCGGCCCCGCAGAGACCACAGGCCAGAGCAGCGGCCTTCCAGGATCCCCAGGCCTCTGGCCTACCTCCACCTGGCACCAGCCAGGGCACCCGCCAGACCCAGAAAGGCGAGAGCCACGCAGGGGGCCTGGGCAGCAGGTGGAGGCCAGGGCAGGGAAGAGGAGAAGGGAAAGGCGGGGAGCCAGCCTGCAGCCCCTCTGGAGCACAGCCCCCAGTCTGGGGAGGGGTCCGAGCTTCCCCAGCAGCATGACTCCGCTCCAGCTCCTGCTGAAGAGGAGTCGTGGGTCTGAGCAGGAGCTTCTCGTCCCCCTTAGCCCAGGTGGTCAGAGGGCAGTGAAGAGAGCCAGAGCCCCTCCTTGTCCTCACATCCCCCCCAGGGGGACTTCCAGATGTAGGGACAGAGATGGTTCCTCCCCAGTACCATCTGCCCAGCCGAGCAAAAGGCGGCCCAAGACTGCAGCCACAGGGCAATCAGTCACCGCATCCCACTGACCTCCGGTTCTCAAAGCCCAGTCCCTGTCCCACCACTCGTTAGTAAAGTCCATGCGGGTCCGCTCTGAGCCTCTCTCTTTCTCTCTCTGCGTCTGTCTCTTGGGCTGGGCTGGTGCAGAAGAGCCCCCCCCGCCCTTACAGACGTCTCCCCACTGCACTTCACCAAATAGGGTGAAGGGGAGGGAGCCAGGGAGATTAGGTACCTGCTGGGGTTCAGATGGAAGTGCCTCCTCTCTGGGATGCTCTGGCGCTTCAGCACCACGGACAGGGCCTGAGGCCATAGGCATCCTAGGCTCAGGCGGGATGGAGCTGGCAGGTGGGAAGGAAAGTGACCTGTCCTGTCCCCAGGACCACACAGAGGCGGGGGTGGGGTAGGGTGGGGGACAGATGGGGAAGCCTAAGCTGGGGCTGAGCCCCACTGTAGTCCCCCAGTTCCTGAGGCAGTGTCAGGGCGAGGCCTGTCTTCCCCAGGGGTGGGGGTGGGGTGTGACCACTGCAGGGTCAGGGCCCTGGAGAGGCCAGTCCCAGGCTCCTCCCGGATTCTCTCCTCTCAGGGCAGTGCTCCGCGGGCAGCGAACACAGGCAGGATCACATCCGTCCCCTCAGCAGCAGGAACGGAGCCGACACCTTGATACAGAAACGAGGGAAAACACTCCCTGATTTTTAATCTGACTTCCAGTCACAGGCGACGGGCGTCACGCGTACTTCCAGACCCTGTGGTGGGGACAGGAGGGGGTGCAGAAAGGACAGAGACTGGGGGTGGGGGAGGGACTCCAAATCAAAGCCAGGGTGGGTGAGGAGGGCTGGCCAGGCAATACATTCCAACGGCCCCCAGACGGGCAGCCAGAGGCCTGGGGCCTGCACCCCTACCTCCGGTGTGCCTCAGAACTGGGGGGTCACAGTGTTGGGGTGGGGGAAGACACTGCCTCACCCCACCCACCCCCAAAGACCTGTGGGTAGTGGTACAGGGGATACAGGCCCTCTTCCTGACCCTCCCAGCCACTTCAAAGTGTGGGGAAGGGGAGCCGCTGCCTCTGTTTCAGAGGGGCTCGAGAGGGCAGGCCACCTGCCCAGAGTCACAGGGCACAGTGGGGACTCGAACCCGGGGACGAGTGGACCTCATCACCGCAGGGCTCCGCCGCTGGTGCAGGGGCTGACTGTGGGGAAGCAGAATGCCCTCCACGGGGAGGGCAGCTGGACAGGATCCCCCCAGCCCCTGTGCCCAGGGCTACCTATTTCCTGGTCTGTAAGCCGAGAAGTTGGGGCGTTCTCAGGTGCCCACTTCTAACAAGGGACCTGGTCATCCTCTCCACAGCCCGGGCAGGAGGGGATACATACCATGTCTGCTGCCTTCTAAGTCCCCCCCCGCCCCCAGTAACTCCTCAGGCCACTCTTAGTAGCTTCGTTATGTTTGTTATTTCTAAATCGTACAAAACTGACAGTGATCAGCTCCGGTGACGAGAGGTAGAGACCGGCTAGTGGGGCAGCCGGAGAAAATGGGGCGGAGTGGGCCGGGGCTGGGGGGGCTGGACATCAGATCCTGGGTGCCTCCATCACGGGGTGGGGCTGCGGGCTGGTACCCCCCCCCCAAAACACAGGGAGCTCCATGTTCTCTTCCTGCTCTGCCTCCCCTCCCAGGTTATCTGAGATTCCAGGCAGGTCCTGGGGCCTGCAGACTGAGGAAGGGTAGGGAAGGGAGGGGTGGGGAGAGGGGGACAATTACTCCTAAGACAACCCTGCCATCTGTTCCCCAAACCCAACAGCTCCCTGATCTGGCTGATCACTCACTGCAGAAGAGAATAAGAGGCTGGAATCTGGGTTGGGGGGCGGGGTCAAACCAATCCTTTGGGAGAATCCCTCTGCTCCTGGGGTGGGGGATCCCCAGGGGTGACCTGGCTTTCAGGAGTGGGGGCAACCGGCAGGGACGAACCACCGAGTTAAGGCTGGAAGGTAGGTTGTTGTGTCTCTGGGGGCTGCCGGGCAGGGGAGGTCTCCCTGAAAACGAGGGGGCGCTCAGTTTTCTCCCCCTGGCTGATCAGGGACCTCGACCCTCGGGCCCGGGTGGTAGTCCTTGAACCCCCGCCTCTCTCTGCCCTGTGTCATGTGTGGTACCGAGGCCAGGAGGGGGCGCTCCCGAAGCGGCCAGGATCTGCGCCGGGCGTGGGGAGGAGGAAATGAGCCCTATGAGAGCGGAGCTGGGGTGGGGCGGGCTGGAGGGGGCGCGAGGGCTGAGACCCACAGACGCGGGGGGCGGACAGACACTCTCCGGGGCAGACGCACGGGGGGCGGGGCGGGGCCGGGCAGCACCTCCACCCACTGCCAATCCCCGCAGGCCGCTGGGGGGCCCAGGCGCGCGGCTTTCTCGTGGCCTCGGCCCCTCTCCTGGCGGCGCGTGGCTGCCCGAGTTGCCCGGGGGTGGGGGGCGCGCACCCCTCCGGCTTGGGCTGGGGTGGCCGGGGTGGGTCACATGATGGCGCAGCGGTTGCGGCTCAGCGCGCCCTGGAAGCGCAGGGCGGCGTGCACGTGCTTGCAGCGGGCGCAGCCGACGCTCTTGAGCAGCTCGCTGAAGAGCAGCAGGATGTGCCAGTTGTACTTGGCCGAGCACTCCACGTAGCCGCACTTCCACGTCTTGCGCACCAGGTGGGACACGTTCCAGCGCGGGATCACGCGTCCGCGCTGCAGGTCCCGCTTGTTGCCCACGATGATGATGGGCGTCTCGGAGGTGCCGATCACCCTGCGGGGCGAGGTTGAGGGGGATCTCAGAGCTCCGCCCAGTCTCGCCATCAGTGGGCTTGGAGAAGAACATCTGTTCCGGGAGCAGCCCTACAGCCCTTGGCAAGCATATTATAATCTCTTACTGACCTAACGGGTGCAAAAGTGGGTTCTACTAGGGCTGGAGAGACAGCACAGCGGGTAGGGCGTGTTTGTCTTGCAGGCAGCCTGCCCGAGTTTGATCCCCGGCATCCCATGTGGTCCCCCTGAGCTCGGCCATGTGTGCCCTTTCCCGCACAAAAACAAAAGAGTAATACTGTCACCTCTGGGCTGGAGGGATAGCACAGCGGATAGGGCATTTACCTTGCAAGAGGCCAACATGGGCGATCCGAGTTCGATTCCTCCACCCCTCTCATAGAGCCTGGCAAGCTACCGAGAGTATCTCGCCCGAATGGCAAAGCCTGGCAAGCTACCCGGGCCGTATTTGATATGCCAAACACAGTAACAATTGTCACAATGGAGACGTGACTGGGCCCGCTTGAGCAAATCAATGAACAACGGGAGGACGGTGACAGTGACAGTACTGTCACCCCATTGTACATATGAGGAAACTTGAGGCAGGCTAACTGGGGTGAAACATGCAGCTGCGTGGCCTCAGGAATTTTTCCCAGAATGGCGATACAAACCACTGCCACGCTGTGGTAAGGCTTCCAAACCTGTGTGTGAGAAACAGCCAATAAAATGGTGTGTACCACGCGGGTCTGAGCACATGAACGGAGGCTTCTCCTGCTGCACTCACAGAAGGAGAGGGGTGGGGTGCTTTGAGCCTCACCTGGTCTCTAGGATCTGCTGGCGGATGGTCTTGACGTACTCGAAGCTGTCAAAGCAGCAGATGTCGTAGACCAGGATGTAGGCGTGGACGCTCCGGAGTCCCCTGCAGCAGGCATCTGCCCACTCCTGCAACAGCCCAGCAGTAGGCACTGTCAGAGGAGCCAGGGGGCGCTGGGGCGCTGGGCAGGCAGCACTCTCACCGACCACTGCATCCCATGCCTCTCATATTCCTCTTATATGATTCCTCTTATACCTCATATTTGATGGTGTAAGTTAGAGGCAAGGTGGGGCGGGGAGACGCTCAGTGCCACAACCCCCACTCCCAGGACAGGTTGCCTGACCTCGCAGAGCATGGCACTGCCCTGTACACAGGTGGAGCGGAAGCCTACCCGTTCCACTGGATCCCTGCATGCATCTGTCCATCCCCACACATGTCTCTGCATGCATCCGTCCTTCTCTGCATGCATCCGTCAGTCCCTGTGTAATTATATCCATCCTCCCCTGCACGTCTCCTTCCCTCCAGTCCTTTGCTTAACAGTACATTCGTAAGTGCCTTCAAAAGCCTGGCCTGATCTAATTATTGGACTTATTGAAATCCTATCTCCAGAGGTCCTGCCCAAATTCTTCCGTCTCCAAGAAGCCTACTTGCATGTAGGGGACTTTTTCCCCTTCATCAGCTGCGTTCCTGGGATCTTTTCGTTGTACCGTGGCAAACCTGTTTCCATCCCCAGTTCTCCAGTTCTGCTGCTGGCTCCCAAACGAGCCAGAGCTGGTCCCTCATTTGTATAAACCTGCTCCTGTCACCCCCCCACTACGTTGGTGTTGGTGTCATACTCCAATGGTTGCTGCAGGTTTGCCAGAGGCTCTTGAAGGGCAGCCCCGTGGCCGGGAGCTCTCCCTGGTGCTGAACCTCACACCTTGCTTGCCCTGGCTCACTGCCTCGGACTGCTCCCTGCCAGGACGGCCCAGCGTGCTCCACTCTGGCCCAAGCGTGGAAAGACGAAGGCTGAGACCGAGAAGACTGAGGAGGGGATGCCCAGCAGGGGCTGATGGAGGGGGAGGAGGGTTGCGCGTTTCCTGAATGCTCTTGGCAAATTCTCAGGGAGGGGCTGCAGCTACAGATAAATAGGCCCCTGGAAGGCTGAGTGCACTGAAAGAAGTTCCTGAAGAGATTAATTAGCTCATTAACCTGCCAGCAGATGGCAGTTCCAAGAGCCGCTGAGGGCGGCCAGAGTGTGGAAAGAAGGGGTCACTGAAGTGGGGGAGGTCTTGCCTCCAAGGACAAGAGGGGGACACAGGATCTCCTCCCAGGGCCCCTGTCAAAGACAAGAAGGGAGCCCTGCGTGTCTCCCACACCAGCTGCCCAGCGGATATGGGCGGGCAAAGGCCCGCAGGAGGCTGTGCAGCTGGTTCTGGGCCAGAATACACAGCCCACCGCAGCCTGTCCTGAAGCAGTGTAGAACACTCCAGGGAGATGATGTGGCATCTCTCCTTTGTGCTGAGGTTTAACTTGGGTGCTGGGACAACGGAGCCACAGGAAACCATTAACTGCTTCTTGGCCAGGGAACTGCATTCTGCTGGCCATGGTGACCTCGGGAGCTGGGGGCCCACATGTGTCTGTGTCCCTCACCCTCCACAAGGAGTGCCAATGGCGGGAAATGAAAGGGTGTGGTCTGGGGTCTGGGAAGGGCTTCCTCCTGTCTTCCAGCTCTCTGCTGGGGAGGGAGCAGCTGCCAGTCTTCCAGGGTGGCAGGCCTGCCCCCAAATGTGGCCTTCTTGAGGGGGGACCTCAGGACTGCATCCACAGGGCGAGAGTGAAGTCTGCTCAAGGGCTGGGCTGAACCTTCAGCCCTCACTAAAGGGAGAGAGCAAGCAGCTTGTTTTCCTTCCGCTTTGCTCTGAACTGGGCTCTACATGGTAGAAGGCCCTTCTGCATCAGGGCAAAGATTGGAAACTGAGTCTGGTTCTAAATTCCCAGGAGCAGGGGGAGGCTCTGATGCCCACACCCTGCCCTCAGTTCCCTTCCCTGTGCAGAGATGGGGGCAGGCAGGAGTGGCAGCTGAGACCCAGAGCCAGAGCTGCCACACACACTCTCTCTCTCAGGCTGCATCTCATCTGGTGTTGGGAAAATTTTCTTTTCAAGGGGGCACCAGGATTCTTGGCTTTTATATTTGACCTTTGAGGCTTGCAGGGTCCCTTCTTGGCAAATCTCTGCTCAAAGTCCCTTATTAGTGTTCCAGAAGAGAAGTCTTAAACATCCCGGAGGGTCCAAGATTCAGGGTTAATTGGACGAAAAAGGCATTAACAGTTGTCAAATAAGTAACTATAAAGGCCTTTAAGCAGATGCAGAGATGCTGAGCTTCACCCCTCATCAGAGAAGCAAATAAAAACCACAAGATTACTCTTTCCCAATAATCCTGGCGAAGGCTGAAGCTGGACAACATGGTCTAACGGCCAGGCTTAAGGGAAACAAGTGATCAGGGGCATAAAATGGGCTGTGCCAGGCCAGGAGCATTAGCACAGCGGGTAAGGCATTTGCCTTGCATGTGGCCGACCTGGGTTCAATTCTCAGCATCCCATATGGTCTCCTGAGCACCACCAGGAGTAATATTTCTGAGTCCATGAGCCAGGAGTAACCCCTGTGCATCGCCGGGTATGACCCAAAAAGGAAAAAAAAAATTAGGGCTGTGTCATTAAGGGGAGGGGAGTGTGGGCCACCTGCTAACCTCCAGTTCCTTTACCTTTCACACTAGCAAAACTATTTCCAGGAACCCATTCACAGATACACCTTCCCATGCACAAAAACCCACTGCACAAGGCTCCCTGCTGGGCACGGAAACAGCCCAGGATGAGAAATGCAGCCCCGGCAAGATCTCTAGGTGATAATGCTAAGTCATAAAAACAAAGGGTAGAACAGCATTGCTGCTGAACATAAGAAGGGGGTGGAGCGAGGCTTTCTGATCTGCCTGCAGGCAGACTGGAAGTGTGAGTGACGGCACAGGGGCCGAGCCGCAGAGGGCCAGCAGGCATGGGGCGAGGCTGGGGAGTGGCTCCTCTTGCAGCACATTTCAGCTATTCCAAAGCTGACACTAAATTTAAATGCACAACAGGACGTGAAAAGACTAAAATCCTCAGTGTGGTGGGGGCTGACAGCACTTCAGGCAGGAGTGGGGAGACTGTGCTGGCCCCCACCCTGAGACCGCTGCCTCTGTGGGTACCCCTGCCCCTGACCATCCTGCCAGAGGTTTCCTGCAGTGAGCACTGGGCGAAGAGCTCAGCCTCTCCCTGCAGGCCCCAAGGGGAAAAGGAAAGGAGCCCTTATCTTGGGCAGCTGTCGGGAGGGGCACCCCCACTCAGGAGCCCACCCAACAGGCCACCCTGAGGGAGAACAAAGACCTCAGCAAAAGGCCTGACCGGGGTCTTCATCTGGGAAACATCCATTCATGGCCCCCTCTGCTGCCCCCTCCCCAGAGGCCGTGGGGTAAGGGTGGCAGCCACCACAGGTGGAACTTGGGAGAGTGATCGGTGATCTCCACAGCCCCTTCCCTGACTACCTCTTACTTGACGCCTGGCCTCCTGGGACGCCCCTGGCTCTGTACCTGGGGGGCTTAGATCTCTGCTTCGGGGCTGCCTGAGGTCCCCATGTTTCCCCTGATCTCGGCAGGTGAGAACCACTGAACAACGTTTCCCTTCTCCATCTCTGGGTTCCTTCAAGAGCAGACTGCGCCTCTGACTCAAGCAATAATCTCTCCCACTGAGCCTGGAGAGGGGACTGCTGCTCCCCCCCTGCCACCTCCCCCTGCCACATGCCCCTATGGTCCCCTACCTGCAGCGTGTTGACAGGGAAGGCGCTGATGGGCGGGAAGTCGAGGATCTGGAGGTCGTGCACGTGGCCGTTCATGACGACGGCGGGCAGGTAGAGGCGGCGGGCGGTGGTGGGCACGCAGACCTCGCTGAACTCGTTGTACAGGAACTGGCGCACGATGGCACTCTTGCCCACGCCTCGCGCCCCCAGCACGGCCACCCGGTAGGTGGAGACCATGCCTCCCGCCCCGCTCCGCCGCCGCGTCCTCGCCGCTGCCTGGGGCCCCCCCGGGCTGCATATTCCAGGGGCTGGGGGCTCAGCCACCGTCAGGACCAACCATTGCTGCCCTTGCTGGCTCTGGGCCTTCTGCGGCCTCCACTTGGGCTGTGGGAACAAGAGGGGGACTTGGTGGGGTGGCTGTCCTCTGCTCCAGCTCCCGGGCTCAGCAGCAACTGGCCCGGCCCCTCGGGATGCCTTCCCTTTCCCAGGGGCCTGGTCCTACCACCCTCAGCCTCTCCCTGTCTTTTCTGCACAGAATTATGAGCCCTCTTGGTACTCGTCCCTAACGGAGCAGCTTCAGGGCAGAGAGAGAGAGAGAAAAGTGATTCCAGATTGCCCTTTCCCACAGGGCCAGGGACAAGACTGTCACTCCTTAGGGCCTTGGCCTCCTCCCCCTGGGGGGGCCCGGGGCAAGCACCTCAGTGTGGGTCCAGAAGGTAGACTCCTTTGCCAGACAGGCCTGACCACCTGACCACACCAACTGCACCAAAGCTTCTCCTCCCTGGCTGCAGTCAGCAGATGGCCCCAGTGCTACCTTCCAGTTCCCAAGTGCCCCAGTGAGGAAGTCCAGACTAGCTGTCCTCTGGAGTAGGAGGTCCAGGGGCACACACTCTCCACACCACCCGCTTGGTCTCGTGTCTCTCTACAACCAACCTACAGAACAGGGATCCCTCTTGGGAGAGAAGTGCTGAGGAAGACCTGTGCCCCATGGGGCCAGAGAGAGGACAGCGAGTGGGGCGTTTGCCTTGCACGTGGCCGACTTGGGATCAATGTTCAGCACAGAGCCACGGCTAATCCCTGAGCACAGTGGTGGCTGGGAATGGTCACAGGCCCTGGCTCCCTGGGATTCTGGGGTGGTGGTGGTGCAGACTCTGGGCTGCTTTTGCCTCCTGGCAGGCCCCAGAGCTCAGTGCTCAGGAAAAGGTCTGCCCCAGGGTGGGACCTGGCTCTGGGGTCACACTCTCCTGCCTTTCTCAGTCTTGGGGACTTTGGATGTTTCCCGGCTTTGGGTCAGTCTACAAATTACCTGCCTGCCTGGATATAAAGTGGGGGTCCCCGTCTCCTCTTGGAGATAATCCCAGTGAATCCCTCCACGAGGCTCCTTCTCCTGTTGGGAATGATGACGACACCTTCTGTCCAGGACTCTGCAGGAGGGGGGCAACCCATGCTGGGTAAGCAGGCCCCAGGCAGATCCTGTATGTGTCATGTGCGCTCTCTGTGGGCCCGGTGGGCAGTCAAGCGCCCTCCACCAACCTGAGCAGGTTGGAGCCCAAGTATCCTGGGTCTGTGCACCCTCAGTGCCATGGTCTCAGTGGGGCTCAGTCCCCAGGGCTTGGTGCCTGGCTCTGACCCTGAAGAGCAACCTTGGACGCGGGGGTGGTGAGGTGGTACGTTGGATGAGGTTGGTCCAGGGTGATGTCCAGTCAAGAGCAGGCACTGTTATGCCCCATCTTAATGACTCCTGCCAGCAGCGCATGTGTGCAACACGCACTTGTGTATGTGTGTGCACGTGAGTGTGTGATATTCTGCTCCTCATTTTAGTGCAGGTTTAAGACACCCCCCAAGCAGAGGCTTTGGGAAGTGACGCCCACACAGCCAGCTGCGCTATGAAGATCAGACCCCAATCTCCTTCCGGCACTATGCAGTGGCTCTCCCCAACAGGTGTTTTTCCACTTCTGGAGACTCCTCAGCAGGAAACGTTGGTTCCCAGCACTGTGAATCCCCCGCCTGGGGCCCCAGGCATCCCCGGGCACTGTGCGGCTTGGCTAGGCTTTGGGGTTAATTACATAACCAGCGCCAGCGGGTGGGGAGGGGGCATCCTGGGGAGGAGGGCAAGAATGGACAGCAGACCCCCCCCCCCCCCCCCGCCCTTCTTTGGGTGTGGCCACTGTGAGGATGTGCTCTACCTGCAGAGCCTCCCAGACCTGGACATGCAGGCACCCCACACCCTGCCCGGAAACCAGCCCTTCGGGGAAGAGCTAGGGACATAAAAGCCAGGCAGAGCGCCGGAGCCAGGGATGGGGTGCCAGAGGTCCCTGGGCCCGGTCCAGCCTCCTGGCACTCAGCAGGCCCTAGTGTGGCTCCATTCCTGACTCAGGTGCTCGTTGGGTTGGCTCGCACTCGCGCTCGCGCCCACCCCCTCTTCCCAGGCAAAGGCCCTGATCCTGTTTATGAACCCAGCAAGGCCGTGGGGTGGGGGAGCGGGAGGGGGTGTCCGAAATAGCAGGCCCACCCCCCAGCTCTCCCTCCCCAAGGCCTGCGCTCTGCAGTGAGTCTGCAGACTGGGCCAGCGGCTGGCGAGATACCGGGGGTGGGGGCAGCCTCCAGGTCCCCTCCAGTCGGCCTGGCCACCTGAGTTCCTGCCCCAGACCCGGCGGTGGGGGTGTCCTCTGCGGTCTCTCGGCCGGATCCCACGTCTGCCCGAGGTCTGTGCCCACCACGCTCAAGTGGGAGGCGGTGGGCGGGGGCGTCGGGGGATGCGGGGCTCCCCGTGACCTGATTGGCAGCAGTTTGGGGGGGTTGCCGGAGCTCAGGCTGCTCTCCGCCTCCGACACCGTGCAGACACCCCCACCCCCTCCATGCAGCCCCAGCTCTCACGTGGCCGCCCCGCGACGCTTCCCCGCCCGCCCGGCCCGGCGGTCCCTTCCTCCCGGCTCGCCCGGACGCCCCCGGCCCCGGTCGGGACCCCGCGCCCCGCGCCCCGCGCCGCGCGCCCGCCGCTTACCCGGAGCCGGCGCTAGCTGCTCCCCGTCCTGCTGGCCGGCCGGCGGGGCCGCGCTCCCCCCGGGCTCCGGCGCGGCCCCCGGCTCCCCGGCCCGGGGGGAGGGAGGTGGGGGCGCCGCCGGCTGCCCAGGCGGGGCGCGCGGGGCGGGCGCGGGGGGCAGGTGCGGCCGCGGGGGAAGGACGCGCCGGCCGGGCTCTGGCTCCGAGCGCGCCGCGCGCTCCGCCGGCCGAGGGAGCGGGGGCCGCGCGGGGGGCGGGGCCGGCGGCGCCGCGCGGGGTCCCTGCGCCCGACGGATTCTCGGGGCGGCCCAGCCCCGCGGCGGCGACCGTCTCGCGGCGACCTTCACCCCGCTCCGGAGCCGCCTTCCCGGCCGTGTGTTCAGCTCCGACCTGGATGGTGGGGTGAAAGGGACCCCAAGGGGCCTTGGAGCTTTCACTTTTCACTCCACATCCTCCTTCCCCACCTCCTCGCCCCGCACCCCAGTTTCCCTTTCTGGGTGTCTTTTCTGACCTCCCGGTCCAGGCCGTTCCTGGGGGCGCCCACTGTGTGCCCTCCACCCGGAGGATCGCAAGTCGGTCTCCCTGATGTGTCCCCGCGACAGCTTCAGGCGGACCCACCAGGCTGCTCTCTCCAGCCAGCGGATGAACTCCCGCAACCCCTAAATGTAGTCTCCGTGTCGTTCGGGGCTGGGGGACTGGGAGGTGGTCGCATCCGCCAGGGCCGAGGACAGTCACCCAAGAATTATTCTAAGCCCGCTTCTCAGAGCAACAGCTGGTTTGAGCGAGTTCTGGGGGCCAGACGACGTGTTCCTCACTTCCCCGCCACTCTCAGCTTTGAGCCTTTGAATTCGCTCGTGTGGCTTCTTCTCCGTGAGCTCGCCGAGGTGGAGAGTTGGCTGAAGTGCAAGATGTGCACAAGAAACTGGGAGTCCCTAGGCTTGCTGACCATGGGGCTCCTGGTCCAACGAGGGCGTGCGCGGTGAGGGGGCAGTTGCAAGGAGCGAGCACAGTGCAGAGCCCAGGTTCTGCGGGGCAGTGGTGGACCCAGAAGTTAGTGGGGTTTGTGGCTGCAGAGGCGGTGGCTTTGAAGGAAGGAGTGAGACACTGTCGGTGGGAGAAGTTGGGGGGCAATTACAGATGCTTGGGGAGAGAGTGCAGGAACCACACAGGAGCCCAGGGGTCTGGAAGCAGGGTGAGAGGCAGCTGAGAGGTTGGTTGAGGTGAGCAGACAAACGTGTAATGGTCAGGTAAGGAGTCCGGGTGCTTGGACACAGGCAGCAACTTGGGCAGAGATGCATTTGTGATACCTTGAGGGCTGGGAGGAGCAGTGGGCAACAGCTGGGAAGGATCCAGGGACTCCCCCCAGCACCCCCCAGGTCCCCAACTAGGGACCCCACAAGGATGCGACCAGCCTTTCTCCTCCTTTGGCACCCTCCTTGCCCTGCCCAGACTGAAGGCATCATGGTTATGAGTCTGGGTAACTTGACAGAGTCACCAAAACACTCAGGACCCTGCTGCCTTACCTGTAAGATAGAGATGGGACAACTGTATCAGAAAGGAAGTGTGTCCCCCCGCTCCACCCCCCCAGCGAATTAGGTCTTAAAGCTTTGATTTTCACGTCTTTCAGAGATACACAGCCTTTTCGAGGAGAATGGCCATCACCCCGACATGTTTCTTCTGGGTGTGCTCTGAGGGGTTGGGGCATGAGGCTGACCAGGCCACAGAAAGCAGCAGACACAAGGCAGAGAAAGGGAGTTTCTCCCTGAGCACTTGTGGTGGGGGAGGGGAGAAAGCAGATTTCTGGTACTGTGGGCTCATATGTCAAGCATAGAGTCTCCTAAACAGCTTATTTTTGATTTTGGGCCACACTCGAGCTGCCTCTTGACTTTGTGCTCAGGGGTCACTCCTGGTGGTGCCCAGCAGACCTATGTGGTGCTGGGGCTTATACCTGGGTTGGCCAAGTGCAAGGCAAGCACCTTATCTCCTCTGCTCTCTCTCTGGCCTTGAAGCAATTGTTTTTATAGAGAAGCAAACAGCCCACAGTAGTAATATAAGATGCAAAATGTCTGGATTTGATTAGTTAGGTTGTTTGAGTTTGCTGAGAGTCACTTTGGATTTTGCACCTCTAGGGGCCCCTCCACTCCGCCCAATTATTAGTGAAGGACGGCCTTGCGAGGCTCTAATTTGGACCTGTCAGTCCTTGCACCTTGGGTTGGTCTGAGGTGCAAGCTCAGGCTCCAGGGGAGTGGACACGTGGACCCACCTACAGCATCTGAGGCCCAGACGTGTAGTGGGACAGAACAGGCAAGTTGCCAAATGCACCCACACTGGGTCTTGCTGAGCTTGCAGAGGTTGTCTGGCCAGATCCAGGAGGCAGGATGCCTGAGAGGAGAGGAGGAGGGTCAGCCCAAGGCTATACTGGAATCTGGTCCTCTAACACCTTCTACTGAGGAGCAGGGCAGGGGGAGTGAAGCTCTCATAATGGTTTTGTCTCCAAATTAGATTTTTGAAAGTGAAGACCATTTGGGTCTGACCAACCCCCAAATTAGCTTCCGAGTTGGCAGCATCAAGAGCGGCAGGGCAAAAGCTAAATGAGAAACTGAAACGGCAAGTTGGGAGCCAACTCGGAAACTTTTCAAGAAAAATCCTTGTTGCTAATAACATGTCTGGGGGCTGGTTGGGATTCTAGGATTAGTGTTCGGGAGATAGAATGGGTAACAACGGGGGAGGTGTGATCTTTCCCAAGTGCCACACCAGGTATTAAAATAAACAGACTCTTGCCTCCTGGAGCTGGGGGTGGTAGGAAAAGAAATCTGGGTCCAAGCAAAATCAGAAAAAGCATCAAGGCATGGGGTGGAAGTAGGAAGGCTCAAACCAGGGCGTCCCCAGCTGTTCCAAGCTGCAGAAACCACACACCTTAGGATCTAGTATGTCTGGGTTATCCTTCTGAGGACACAGAAATCTCAGGTGGGCGTGTGGAGGCCCATGTGCACCTTTTAAGCACTGAACTTAAGAGTTTCTGGGGGGCTTGGCAAGGTGAGGTTTGCCATTGTGCTGGCAAGGAGTGCAGAGGGCGAAGCAGACTTATGATAGAACTTTCAGAGGCAAGGAAGGGGAGGAGGGAGTTTAGAAGTATGCCCATGGGGAGTTACTGGCTTTGCCTGAAAAATGGCTGCCCCAACTCAAGGAATGGGGGCCAAGTGCTTTCCCACCACCAAACCTAGGACTGCAGAAGAGCAAGTAGGCTGACAGGTGTCAGTCTTGGATTTTGGTCCTTGGTGCATTTCATGAACACCCAGGGAGGTTTTAAATGTGGACTCTGAAAACATCACTGACCAGCTGAGCAAAATCAGCTGCCTTTTGGGGAAAGCTCTCGGGATACTAATGTGTCTAAGCTGATAGCATCTCTGTTCTCTGGATTTCATGTCCAAACCAGCTTGATATCAGCAAGGCCTATCCATCCCCAGTCTCTCATCAGAGCTTCCTTGCTGAACCTCAACCAGGCCCACCCTGACCCTATTCCTCCCCAGGTGTTGGTCCTTCCATAGCTCGGGCTAACAACTGCCCAGTCACAGAGTGAAAATTTCCCTAGCTGCCCAAGGGCAATTTATTCATGGTGTCTGGCCATCCCAGTTAGAGAGCTACTGTGGTAATAAAGCACCTATGTATGTGCTCCAATCTGCATGTTCTAGTGATTGTAGAGATTCAGGTGGCTGAATCTCATGCCATAGGGCAAAGGTATTTGGTGTGGACTCCTCAGCCTCCTTAGCCCACTCTAGGCCACAGGAGTCTCTGGAGGTTGTCTGCTCCTCATCCCTAGGTCCCTCTAGACCAGTAGTTTTCCATCTTTTTTTTTTTTTTTTGCTTTTTGGGTCACACCTGGCGATGCTCAGGGGTTACTCCTGGCTCATGCACTCAGGCACTGCTCCTGGCGGTGCTTGGGGGACCACATGAGATGCTGGGAATCGAACCTCTGTCAGCCATGTTGGCTGAGTGCAAGGCAAACGCCCTACCCGCTGTGCTATTGCTCCAGCCCCAGTTTTCCAACTGTTAAGAGTGTGGGTCACTTCCAGGCCACAGGAGTGAAAAAACTGACAAGCACTGAGTCACTGAGGTCCCATTTCCCTTCCCAGTCCTCCAATAACTGCAGGTGACTGGATCCGAAGACTGTTTACGGCAGCATTAACTCCACTCGGTAACATTCCAGGAGAGAGGCTCTCAGAGAGAGATGGTGGTCTGTGAAAGGTGGTCTGTGCTGGGAGGGCTAAGGTGGAACTGGGTGAACACAGAATTCTACCTTAGTCCAACTTCATTTCATGAGCCTGAGAGCCAAGGGAGATTGAGGGCTTTTGGAGCCGAGTTCTACCCGCAGAGCTAATGCCCACCCCTCCTGTGGCCAGTTGGGTTGTGTCTCTGAAGGGCAGCTCTGGAAACAATGCACATGCCACCAATTGTATTTTGTGTAAATGAGTTTATTGACTAAGACACAAGGTCAAGCTTCCCCCAATCCTCCCTCCCCCCACCCAGATCCCAACAACAAAAGAATGATAAGCATTCTTAGGGTGACAGCCCCCCCTCCCCAATTCTCTCCAGAGAACCCTGCTTTACAACACAGACACACGGAGCAGGCTCGGGCGAGGACAGACACTCAGGGAATCTCTGACCAGCAAGAGTTCTGGGTGTGTATGTGCTTCCCGTGCCCTTTGTATGACACCAGCTGACATCAAAAAGACAGACTGAGGCAGAGGAGGAGGGAATGCAGGGCAATCTCCACTGTCCCCCAATTCAGTCAAGCTTGAAATGTAGCCGGACAGGAAGCTGCAGTGGGGACAGGTTCAGTCTCTTTGGGAGAGTCCTTTTCTGTAGAGTGGACCCCTGACAGCTGGGGGCCACAACTGGAGACAGATCCCTAAGGTGTACGAGCTCCTAAATGGCTCGGTCAGAGCTCAACGGAGAGTGGCAGCTGTGACCCCTTACCGCAAGGGAGGCTGAGAGACTAGTTTCAGGGGTGGAGGGACATATTCAGGTATGAAATTGTATAGTCTGCTTACCCTGCCACACACTCTTCATTCTGGAACTCTACTCTGTGTTGAAATGAGAAGTGTGTGTTTGTAGTGTGAAACCTCCTTCACTCCTTGTAGCCAAAGGACTCCATGG